CGAACTGTGAGATCTCGACCTGAGCTGAAGTCGGATGCTCAACACACTGAGCCACCCAGGAGTCCCAGATTTTAGCCATTTTTTTAAACACTTAAAAAAAAAAAAAAAGTTTACACATTTTCTGACGGCCACTGCCCGAACCTTTTCATCATCCAAAGCTGAAACTCTGTACCCATTAGCACTAACTCTGCACTCACAGTTACCCCCCAGGCCCTGGTAACTTCCATTCTACTTTGTGTCTCTGAATTTGACTCCTCAAAGCACCTAATGTCAGTGGAATCATACAGTATTTGTCTTCTGTATCTGCCTTATTCACTTAGCATGATGTCTTTAAGGTTCATCCATGTTGTCGCATGGGTCAGAATTGCCTTCCTTCGAAAGGCTGAATGACCATGTATACACCACATTTTGGGTATCTGTTCATCCATTGATGGATACTTGGGTTCCTTCCAAATCTGAGCTATTGTGAATAATACTGCTATGAACATGGGTTTGCAAATATCTCTTTGAAGCCCTGTCTTCAGTGGATTCTTCTTTTTTTCTTCTTCTAAAACTGCGTGGAGGGGTGTGTGACAGGCTCAGTCAGTACAGCATGTGACTCTTGATCTCAGGGTTGTGAGTTCAAGCCCCATGTTGGGTGCAGAGATTACTTAAAAAACAAAATCTTTAAAAAAAAAAAAACAACCATATGGAACTCACGTGGGCCCTTTCTTGAGTTTCTGGGTGTGTGAGAAGGTTGACCTGGGAGTCGAGGTCTTTTCCACCCCTCACTGCTTGGGGTCCCAGGCCCCTGGAGCAAATCACTCACTGTCTCTCCGTCATAGTTCCCCCACCTGTGATCGCAGGGAGTCCCTTCTACCTCTCAGGTCCTACACCTAGGTGACCGTGTGTAGGGCACTCTGTACCCAGACGTGTGCCTTCAGCTATTCCTGGCTTCTGTTTATTCCACAGTAGAACCGGAAGCAGAGTGGGCCCTTGGCATGAACAGGTTTATCATTCACGCTTTTGAGGGGTCTTGAGCAGTCCTGACGGCCCATGGCATACAGAAATCTTCCACTTGGCTGAGGCATGAATTTGACGCTCACATCGCACATTGAGGTTGATGTGTGGGTGCAAGTCACTTAGTGGGCAAGTCGGGCTGGCCGAGTGCCCATTGTCTGCCTCTCAGCGAGGCGCTGTCAGCTCCTACTCAACCCATCTTCAGCAGTGACTTTTGTGAACTGCTAGAACTTTGGTGACTGTGTGTGTGTGTGTGTGAGAAAATGCCTCCGATGCTGACTGCGAGGGCTGGCAATGGAAGCAAAAGGAAGCCCAAGAAACCAGTGTTTCTTACTGAATAGACTACAAAGTGGTCTGTTGAACTTCACAGTAGCTCCGTGGTGCAGACAGCTTCACCATACATTCACTACAGAAATAAGACACGTCTCTCTGTGAAATTTTAGTGAGTGTCTCAGCCAGCAGAAAATGTGCTCATCGAGAGATAAAACTTTAGAAAAGTTTGAAAAAGTGCCTCGGGAGAAAGGCAGGAGACTGTACAAACATCTCCAGGAAGCGGCACATGTCAAAGGCACCAGTGTGGCTACTAAACCAGTCTTATTTTCAAGTAAGGGCTGGTTTGGAAGTTTTAAGATGTGTTTTTCTTGGCAAAAGGTGCAGTTAAGAGGAATAAGCAGGCCCGTTGTCTATCTCATGGCAGACGGGATTCCTCCTGGGCTAAGAGGCATGTGGAGAAACAGAGGCCCAAGTCCCAGGCTGGTGTACTTCAGGGCAGGTGGGAGGTGGCAGCCTCACATGCTAGATGGAAAGCCACGTGAGAGACGCAACCAGAGAATGAGGGCCGAAGCCCGTCAGAGAAGGCCGTAAAGAGGTGATAAGGGGTGAAGGGCATGAAGACATGGTGAAGAATTAGGAAAGGCTAGTTGGGCCCTTCATAAATTTTGTGAGGTGTTCCGTTACACCAAGCTGCCAACATCGTGGCCATCCGTCAGTAGAACGGGGCCTGTTTCATCAGTCCTAAGAAACGTATCACCATTGGCACCATGTCAGGACATCCCAAGAAGTTGCAAAAGTAAAGAGAAATGAACAAACTTAACTTTGATTAAGAAGAAGGAAGGAGGGACACTTGGGTGGCTCAGTCAGTTGAGCATCTGACTCTTGATTTCAACTCAGGTCATGATCCCAGGGTCGTGGGATTAAGCCCCATGTCAGGCTCTGCACTGACCATGGAGCCTGCTTAAGAGTTTCTCTGTGTCTCTCTGTCTCTCTGTCTCTGTCTCTCTCTCCACCTCCGTTTGCCCCTCTCCCCCACTCACACACTCTCTCTCTCTCTAAAATAAAAAAAAATTGGGGGTGGGGCACCTGGGTGGCTCAGTCGGTTGAGCAGCCGGCTTCGGCTCAGGTCATGATCCTGTCGTTTCTGGGTTCCAGCCCCACGTCGGGCTCTGTGCTGACAGCTCAGAGCCTGGAGCCTGCTTCCATTCTGTGTCTCCCTCTCTCTCTGCCCCTCCCCTGCTCGCACTCTGTCTCTCTCTAAAATAAATAAACATTAGGGACCCCTGGGTGGCTCACTCGGTTGGGCGTCCAACTTCAGCTCAGGTCATGATCTTGCGGTTTGTGAGTTCGAGCCCCGCATCGGGCTCTGTGCTGACAGTTTGGAGCCTGGAGCCTGCTTCGGATTCTGTGTCTCCTTCTCTCTCTGCCCCTCCCCAACTTGTGCTCTGTCTCTCTCTATCAAAAATAAATAAATGTAAAAAAAAATAAACATTAAAAAATTAAAAAAATAATTAAATTAAAAATTTAAATTTTAAAAAACTAAGGGAGGAAAAAAGGGAAGAGAAAATGACAATAAAATTAAGAACGAAAGGGAAGGTAATTAAAATGGGCACCAGTGAGAAAAAATAATATTTTTTCCAAATAGCAAAATGCTAATGAGTTGGAAAACCTAGATGAAACACATTTTTGGAAAAAGTGAAAATGACAAACTTGAGTCAAGGAGAAGGAGAAAATTTGATTAGGACGTTGGCCGTTAAAGACCACCCCAACTAGAAGGTGCAGGTCCAAAGGTGTTCAAGTCAGAGTTAACATCCACAGTAAAGATCATCTTTATTCTTTATAGGAAAATAAGCAGGGAGGTTGATGAACTAACTTATGTGGTTGGTATAACCTTGTTTCCAAAACCAGATGGCTACACTGTGAGCTAATAAAATATTAGGCCCACTTCAGGTATGACCATTGATGCAAAGGTCCTAAATATAATGTTAAATAAAACGAGAGGAGGGTAGGAGGAGAACAAGTGCCATTCATCATGCTCTGTGAGGTACCGGCCCCCCCCCGGGGCGCCTGGGTGGCTCAGTCGGTTAAGCATCTGACTTCAGCTCAGCTCATGATCTTGTGGTTCATGGGATTGAGCCCCGTGTCAATCGCGAGAGGGGGAGAGGGGCAGAGGGAGAGAGAGAGACAGAGAGAGAGAGAGAGAATCTCACTGTCATCTAGCCCTGCTGACGGCACAGCCTACTTGGGATTCTCTCTCTCTGCCCCTCCTGTGCTCTCTGTCTCTCTCTCTCTCTCTCTCTCTCTCTCTCTCTCTCTCAAAAATAAACTTGTAAAAAAATTTTTAAAAAGAAAAGAAAGATACATGCTCCCACCGCCACCCCCAGCACTCTGACAATCCTCTTTCCTCTGTTCTTTGGGTTCAGCTTTGCAAGCTGTCTGGCTGACCTGGCCGCCGCTTCATTTTTGTTCCCAAAGACAACCCAGGTCTGTTTTGTTATCAGGGTTTTTGCTGCAAGTCAATAAAAGAAGCAAACAGAAAGGGACTCAAATGGGTAATTACAAAGGTTCTAAAACTTCACAGAGTTTCTATACTGAAGGTCCCTGGTTTATGTTCCCAGACTTCTTTTTAAGATGGTAAATGAATGAGGATAAGGCTCCTTCAACATACTCCTCCTTCCTTCGAACTACCTGCTTGCTGCCTTGTTCCCAGCTTGGACACCCAAAGAGGGCTCCAGGACAGTGGATGGGTCCCCTTGAGTGAGATGGTATTGCCCATGTCCCAGGGTGTCCAGCCTGAGTGACCCATCCCACAATGACCTGCTTCTTACTTCTCATTGCAAGAAAGTAAGTCCTCAGGCTGACCTTCCTAACAGAAGCTGTCTTGCATCTGAGAATACGGAATTCTAGGAAAATAACCATCTTTTCCTGAGCAGGCATTCCAAATGGTGACGAACTTGGGTCTTTGGTTCACATACACTCTGTGTGCTGTTTGGTGATACCATGGGGGTGCGAGTTCTGTTACTGCCATTCCAAGACACTCTTCCGTAATTTCTAGCTCTGAAAGATGTGGGGGTAGCCTCTTCCCTCTCTTTTGGCTTCTAGACACTTGCAAATATTTGTTTTAAGTTTATTCATCTTTTTTTTTAGAAATTTCTACAGCCTACAGGGGCTCGAACTCACGACCCCGAGATCAAGCATTGCATGGTCCTCTGACCAAGTCAGCCAGGTGTCCCTGCAAAGAGTTAGTTAATGATTTAATTGTTCCCTCCCCCAAGAAGTATCTGGTTTTGTAGAATGTGTATCACGGGCCAGCAAGACATGGCCATTAGGACAGGGGAGCGACGGTGTTGTGGGCAAAGGCAGGGTGACAGCCAAGTTTTTATCTGGAGGATCTGGGGACAGATGAATGAGCACAACTGGCTTTGGGGATTATTTCTTCACCTTGAGACAGGATGGAAATGAATATTCTCACCATGCCCCTGCCCTGGAGAGAGATGGGTGAGACGTTGGCTGCGTGCCTCCTCTTTTGAAGAGTTCGGAAGTTAAATGTCTCTTTGAAGATTCTCACCTCCCGAATAGACTAGGACTTGGCATTTTCCACACCAAATGCTTAGCTCAGAGGGAGCACTAAATACAGGGGCCTCACAAGTCATTGTGAACGATGACTTTGGAGAAGGTTACCGAAGTCCTGCTGCTCTGATGGCCTTTTGTTGAAATTATTTCCGCAGGTCCTCACAGCTGGCTTGTCCATATTGCTGTTTGATATGATCCTGACGAGTGCAACAGTGGGATGGTAAGTCTTTTGCCTGGAGAGAGGAAGAGCAAATTTATTGTTCGGGTTTCACCAGGATACTAATTTTTTTTCTCAAATGTTGGCAAAAGGGTGTTTGGAGTGTGTGTGTGTGTGTGTGTGTGTGTGTGTGTGTGTGTGTATTTTTTAAGTTTGTATTTATTTATTTTGAGAGATAGAGCAGGGGAGGGACAGAGAGAGAGAGAGAGAGAGAGAGAGAGAGAGAGAATCCCAAGCAGGCTCCACACTGTCAGCACAGACCCCGACATGGGGCTAGAACCCAGGAACCACGAGGTCGTGACCCGTGAGCTGAAATCAAGAGTCAGATGCTCAAACTGACTGAGCCACCCCAGCCAGGCCGCCCTGGGGTATGTATTTTATTGACACACAAATACATCCAGAGGAGTACATATATCATGAATGTGCAACGTGATGAATTTTCACAACTGGATATACCAAACCCGTTGCAGTCAGCATCCAGATCAAGAAACAGAAAACCACTGTGCATCTTTCAGCCACTCATCCACACCAGCGTAAGCACTACCGGTGAACTACTAGTTTTATATGTATTATGTGATTTTACCAAGATTTTATAACTACTATGATTGGGTGAGGATTCAAAACCAGATCTGTGTGTATCCAAGGCCCCGTAGCCTTCATGTACTTCTGCACGACTGCTTTGGCAAACACCAGGGATTTACCAGCAGTGTAGACAGTGTCTAGGTAACAGTGGGCCGTAAGGGAGGTATAAGAGAAATTGGCCTGTACGTTCCTCTTCCCACCAATATGATCATCCATAAAGAGCTTCTAGATAATTTGACAGCAATACGAAAGGAGTGTTATCCAGGATAAGACAGCTCTATTTCTTGTTCAAGGGCTGACATGATGAACTAAGATTGTCCAGTGGAATGATCATAGGAAAAAGATCTCATTGTCTTGGGTTTTTTAATGCTATTAGCAATAATCCTAACAATTAGCTAAAAATATCTTTTGAGTGACTGCCACATGTGAAGTAAGACATCCTTCAGCCTTCAAGGAGCACGGGGGAATGGAAATCATGAAGATAGTTTGTGGGGTAAGATAGTCATAGTCTGAATGCACGGTGAATGTGAGGGCGGAAGGAAGGAGAAAGGACAGGCCAGCAGGCGGGCTATGCAACTGGTTTGAACTGGACCTTAGGCAGAACACAGAGGCTGAGCAAGGCGGTGGGTGGAAGAGGATTTGGGCCCTCTGGCCCCAGGAAAGACAAGGAAGGGTGGAGAGGCAGGGGGTGCCAACGGTGAGAGTTAGTGATTTGGAACCAGAGCTGGGGCTGTGGGGCACAGAGCTAATCCTTCGCGCCTTCCTCCTTCCTCTGCACCTGTCCTTCCAGGAAGGCATGACGCCCACAGTGGGCTGGTGACATCCAAAAACCCAACTGCCAAGATCTCCTGGTACATTCCCAGTGTCTCCTGACACTCTTCCCCCAATGTCTGTATCTTAACCTTCGTAGCGATAGTCTAAATTCTTGGCGTATTTTTCTTTCTCACGAATAAGCCTTGGACAACCATAATCTGTACAGAATTTCAGAACGGATTTAAAAAACCCAGGCACTGACCGGAGTGTGAGAAATAGGAGAGAGGTGGCTCTCCAGTGGGGAGGAAAGGCCGAGCCTAGATATTACAGCAGCAGTCTGGAAGAGGCCAGGTCTGCAGGCTGTTTCACATCCTGTGAACTTTATGGTATGCCCTGAGCAAAATGGAAAGAAAGGCTGCGTGTTCCCAAATCAAGGAAACAGCGTGTGTGATTATTGCAAAAGGAACCTTGACTTTGGAATTTCCTGATTTTTCAGAACTTGAGTTTAAGGATGGTGTGTTTTCAGCCTCAAAGAATTTTCCAACCACAAAGTGAACCACCAGAAGAGGAGTGTCAGACTCTAGTTCAGATTTCCTGTCTTTTGCACAGAGCCGGTCCGCGCTGTCCCCAGCGGAGCCTGGGTGACCAGCTCTCAGACCCTGGGCACGGGCAGGCCTGCTCTCTGACGTGTGGGAGCTTAGACTGATCAGAAGTCACAGAGGGCAGGGACTGCAGAACTGTTTTGTTTAGACCTCCCGTGTTTGCCGGTAGGGTCACTATTGCTTGTTTTTTGGCTTTCGGAGTTTAAATTCGATCACGTTTAGAAATCAGGTGGTTTCCCCATAAAAGTCCAAATTTCCTGATTCTTTTGAAAATGTGGAACAAGTGCTACGTTGAGCCTGTACGTCCCCACAGCGGCGGTTGCCGGACCAGGTAGAGGCTGCCTGTCACGTGGACGTGGGCTAAGTCAGCGCGGCCTCCATGGCTCCAGGCTGGCTGAGGCCGGGGGGGTTCTGTCTCAGCTACATCCGAACACCCATTTGCTTTATACTCATTCATGTCACAAAAAGCGTGTGGTGGGCTCCGAGGCTACAGACAGTGCGTGACCCCAGCAAGGTCACCGTCCGGGAAATGAGTTCAGATGTCATTAGCCACCTTCTTGGATGGGGAGCAGCTTAGCTGTACAAAACAGGTCATCATCTAAAGTAGGGTTTTCCTTCACCTCAGCACTGTTGACGTTTTGGGCTACAGTGAATAATTCTTTGCTGTAGGGAGCTGTGCTGTGCTTTGTAGGGTTTTTAGCTACAAACTGAGCCCCACCCCACCGATGCCAACGGCACCTCCTCAGATGTCTCCAGATACTGCCACATGTCCCTTTGGCAGCAAAATGACCCCAGTTGGGAATCACAGATCTAAATGTTTGTGGTGGTTAGTGGAGAAAACGCCATTCCAAATTTCAGCAAGATCTTAAGAACCTTGCTTACCCTCTAATTAGAGATTTGGTCAGCTCGTGTGTCAAGGCCTGGGCAGCCTCTCCCACCCTCTCTGTGCATAGCCCCGTCAGCACGTACCACACTAAGTGCCGGGTGAGGGTTCACACCCCATCTACCTGCAATCGTGAGCTCCTGCGGAAGGGAAACCACATTTCACGCACCTTTGTGTCTCCCTGCCTAGCCCTAAGGGCTTGCCGAATAAACGAGGGGCCAACCTTCTAAATACTGTACCCCCACAATTATAACCCTTGGGGCATCTGAGTGCCTCGGTTGGTTAAGTGTCTGACTCCTGATTTCGGCTCAGGTCATAATCTCATGGTTTGTGAGTTCCAGCCCTGCATTGGGCTTCATGCTTCATGCAGTGCAGAGAATGCTTGGGATTCTCTCTCTCTCCCCCTGGCCTTCTCTGCTCTTCCCCTGCTTGCTCTCTCTCTCTCTCTCTCTCTCTCTCTCTCTCTCAAAATAAATAAATAAACTTAAAAAATGTGTGTATATATATATATACATATATATGTATATATATGTATATATATATGGAGGAAAATTATAAACCTAAGTAGCAATGTTGGTCAAATTTTAAAGTCTTAACTATTTTTTTTAATGTTTATTTTTGAGAGAGAGAGAGAGAGAGAGAGGGAGCATGAGTGGGGGAGGGGCAGAGAGAGAGAGAGAGAGAGAGGGAGACACAGAATCAAAAGCAGGCTCCAGACTCTGAGCTGTCAGCACAGAGCCCGACACAGGGCTCGAACTCATGGACTGTGAGATCATGAACTAAGCCGAAGTCAGATGAGCCACTGAGCCACTGAGCCACTCAGGAGCCCCCTAAAGTCTTTTCTTAAAAGCAACTGATCTTGTCAAGCAAATTATCTTGTTTTTTATTATAAAAACAATCTATTGCAAACCCAGGATTTAAATGTCCAGATTAATATTTAATTATTCACCTTCAATTAACAGAGTTTTATTGTATATATTGATTTGAATTCCCTTTATTCCAAAATTTCAGCAAAGAGGATTCAACACACACAAAAGAAAAAATGCTGAACTGTGAGCAGTGTCTCTGCTGAGTAGAATTAGTTGTGGGTGCCCTCTCTTTGCATCCTTTTTAGACACTCTTCTCTTTGCAATAGTTTCTCTTTGCAAAAGTACAAGGAGAGAAAATGACCAAAACACAACCTCTTTGTTTTGAGGATTTCGTGACCACTTCTCTCCTTAGGCAGTCATTCATGGGGCCCACCAGTGATCATGGCTTACCAACATGCTTCATCTCAGCACAAGCCTCACTAATACCAACAGTCTTTAGAAAATGGTCTTATATCATCTTTGAGTAACAATGTCTTACGCCTTTAATTTTAGGACACTGCACGGAAACTGCCCAAGCCTCTTTGTAGGAAGAGTGAATTTAGGGGGTGAAGAAAGTACTCCCCCCAACACACCCCATAGTATAGCTAGGATCACAGTGACTGAAATTTACCAGTTTTCCATTTGAGTTAAAAAGGGTGCCTGGGTGGCTCAGTCGGTTAAGTGTCCCACTCTTGATCTCAGCTCAGGTGTTGAACTTAGGGTCGTGAGTTCAAGCCCCACATTGGACTGTGTGCTGGGGATAAAACCTAGTTAAAAAAATTTTAAAGGGGAGCCTGGGAGGCTCAGTCGGTTGAGCATCCAACTCTTGATCTCGGCTCAGGTCATGATCTCACGGTTCAAGCCCCACATTGGGCTCTGCACTGACTGTGTGGAGCCTGCTTGGGATTCTCTCTCTCCCTTTCTGTCTGCCCCTCCCTTGTTCATGCTCTGTCTCTGTCTCTCAAAATAAATAAACATGAAAAAAATCTTAAAATAAAAAACCTTTTAAAAAATGTGAAAACTCTCTAAAATGCTAAGAAGGGACTTCTAAATTACTATCACTCATTACTTCTCAACAGAGAGTAAGTTATCAGATTGTGAACTGTCACTCAGCAAGTCCCCAAGGGAATGGTACATTAGGCAGATCTCTAGGCACATTAGGAAAAGAGAAAAAACAAAAATAGTTTGGACTATAAGTGGGAGAAAGGGGAGCAAGGGTAAGAAATTCATCGTCATTCATTGAGAAAATATTTATTATGTACTGCATGAAGGGCTAGGCCTACAGATGGAAAAGGGTACAGTCCCTGCCCCCTATCAAGTGCAATCAGGAGGTGCTTGAATAAGCACAATAATGAATGTAAAATTGAAATAGGAAAAGACTGGAGGGCCGCCGAAAATAAAGCCCTGGGAGAGGACCTAGTGATGAGTATTTCTGGCCGGGTATGCTCTGCCATCTGGTATGGCAGAGCCTTCATTGCATGAAGTGTGTTCACTTCAGGAATGATGGGAATCACAAGATTTGCAAACAGTTTGGTCAAGCTCTGACTTAAATGGTTGTAATGCTATTAAGATTCCTGCACCCCGTGTCAGCTTCTCCTGCTGTTTAGAAGACAACGTCAAAGCTCACCTCCCTGGCTCTCTTAACAGTAAACTGAACCAAGGTTTGTTTCCTTCTGAGCATTCACTAAGCTGCTTTGGTGTTTCATGAAATAGCTAAACTGAACGGATGAAATGCAAGGTTATTACATTTCAGCATGGTTCTAAGGCCATGGGGGGAGGAGTGGCAACGAGCCAGCCCATACCCTGTTCTTCTCCCTGGTGACAAAGCAGGGTTCCTGGAAACCCATAGAAATGGCTGAGCCCCTAGTTACCTTTGCAGAAATAAGCCCCGCCCAAGCCCAAAGGCCCGTGCAGCCTTTGTGTCAGGTCACGGTGACTCTGCACTTGCCCCAGTGTTTCAGAAGATGACGTGTGCATTCTTTAAGGGTCAGTCTGAGGAAGGGCTTCCCTCAGGAGGGAGGAACCATGTGCCCAGGGTCTTTGATAAGTAAGATCCCCATCGACACTTGCTTGGACCCCACGGCCAGAGTTGCTCAACAGGGACACAGGCTTGCTTTGTGCAGCAGGACGTGCCTGCCCCTCAGGAGAAGTCTTCAAGCAGAGTCGGGACACCAGCTCTGAGGGCCAGTGAGGAAGGCATTGGGGAGGACAGTCTGGGAGGACAGTCAGCTAGTCAGTATATTTTATCGCTTGTGCATTATAGGCCAAATGCGGGGGTTGATGGCTTCCGGTATATCCTTTTCAGCCTCACGGACACTGCTGGATGTGACCGTCTCCTGGGGCACAGACAAGACCAGAGCTGAATAGCACGCACAGGGTCACGTGGCTAATAAATGCCTGAGCCACAATCGGAACTCAGTTTATTGTTTTAATAGTCTCACGCTTGCTAAGCTCATTCCCGTGCTAAATGGGGCAAATGGTACATTTACCATTATCTTTATGTCAGAGTCCCTCACATGGGTGACATTTCTCACTGGGAATGTGATGTGCACAGCCTGCCTGTGTTTCGTATGTTTGGTGCCCCGGGCGAATGTTAGAAACATAAAGATGCCGGGGTGCCTGGGTGGCTCAGTTGCTTAAGCTCTGACTTTGGCTTAGGTCATGATCTCACGGTTCATGGGTTCAAGCGCCGCGTCAGGCTCTGTGCTGACATCTCAGAACCTGGAGCCTGCTTTGGATTCTGTGTCTCCCTCGCTCTCTTCCCCTCCCCTGCTCACACTTTCTGTCTCTCAAAGATAAATAAAAATGTTAAAAAAAAAAAAAAGAAAGAAAGAAACATAAAGATGCCATAGTGTAAATGTGTGTGTGTCGTGGGTGGCCTTGTGGGGGATGTGGGAGAAGACCGGAAGGGCAGGTAGAACCGAAGGGCTGTTCGCCCCTCTGACCAAGAGCATTTCATCACCAGGGACCTCCTGTCATAATCTTTTGTGATGGCCCAGTCCCGTCCTCAGAAGTGCTTTTTGGGAAGAATTTTGGGATTCAGACCAGACGTCGATTGTCTACCAAGAAGTTTAAAATAGAAAATGTACAGAGACCTTTGGATGTATTCAGTTTTAGGCATGTTAAAATATTCAACTCCTCCTTCTCAGGGTCTGCAGTTTTCTCACCACCTTTTCATTTTCAAATCACTGACCACATTTCTTTCTGCTCTGGTGGGAGATTCATGATTTGCCTTTAGTATTTTCATCTCTGAGTGTTCTGTTAGTCTCAGTGAAATAACAGGCTTCAGAGCCCATCACCCCAGTGATGATCAGACTGGATACCTGCATGGGTTCATGTCATCAACCCTCTGTGTCCACTGCGGAGTGGAGCATGTCACTTCACCAGGTCAGGATGAACAGGACACACAACCTTCTTCCTGGGGACAGGAGGCAGGGGAAGATCAAACCCCACTTTACAGCCCACTCCCCTCCTGCCACACAGCTGAGGTTTACTTGGGACGACCAGGCAGTTCCTGGGCCTGACCTGGCAGCAGGGCAGGCCTGGTGGGGGTTAGGGAATGAGGGATCCCTTGCCCCGATGCAGGTGAGCACCAGGAAGTCGTGGGTCCACAGCCTCCAGACTCGAGGGACTAGAAAGCTGACCTCTTGCTGTTTTGTTTTGTTTTGTTTTGTTTTTGCAGCCTCCTGCTTGGCGGACTCGGAGAGGCCTTGCTGGTTTTCTCGGAGCAGAAGGGCTCATAAGGACAGGAAAAATAGACTCACAGGCTGCTGGCTGGAATGCACGGCCCCTGGGCCTCAGAGATCCCGCTCAAATGTGTTAGAAGGAGAAAACAGGGACAACAAGGCCACCACTTCTCACTGCATCAAGGAGAAGTCTCTGGACTGTTGGAGAGAATTGACTGTGTTGCGTCTTCCTGCTCCGAGAGGCTCACTCAAGCCTTGCTGACCGTGCTGGGCCCAGTGGGGCAGACCCAGACCTGGAACCCCCCATGTGGGGATGGGTCTGCTCACCTTGACTGATGTGCAGGCCTCCTTATTAAACACCCTTCACCAAACATGACTATACGGAGGCGGGCTCAAGGAATTTTGTTGCACTTTGTTTTATATGTTTACATCTTTGGAGACTTTTCTGGGGACACCTTTCCCTTGCTGTCATGGGCTTGCCTGGAGCCCCCACTCACCCACTTAGGAGCACAGACAGAATTCCTCATGGAGGGCTTTCACGGGGGGGCAGGGGCAGAGATGAGGGTCAAATGGGAGTTCTGAGTCAAGTAAGACATCAGCAAGGACGCTGTTACTCCAGAGAGAGTGCTAAAGCCTTTTTGGGGTTGTGTGTTGTGTTGAATTCTATACACTCTTGGTGTCCACTGTGAGGCTAACTTGCTCCTAAATGATCACCAGAGGGAATAGGGTTTATAACTGTTGATGGATGTGCTCCCTGGCCAGTGATACAAACATAGAACATACGTATACACAAAAGCACACGCATTTATATTCACATCCCTTAAAGCTTTTAATCCATTGAATTCCCTGATGGCTCAGAGGAGATTTCATTCATATCATTGAACACTGAAGTATATTTTTCGGGCCAGATTAAAAATTTGATTAAGACTCTAAATCTTCCTCTGTGGGAGTCCAAAGAAATGAACATGCATGAAATGGTAACTTGCTTCTGAACTCACAGTGAAGGTTTAAGAAAATAATGTCTGACTTCAAATATTTCTGCTCATGACAGGTTTTCAATGCCTGACTGCTCTGCCAGGTGTCGGGTCTGGTCATGTTGAGATGTAGAAGGTAGTGAAGTCCCAGTGAGCCCTCCCCGGGCAGGAAGCCAGGCTGGCACTGGTGGTCATGCACGCCATTCATGGAGAACCATCTTCGTCGTCTGGGAAATAAGCCTGTCCATGGAGAATAAGGTCAGCTTAGTCAGGGGCCATTCTTCCAACTTGTTGAAAAAATACACAGAAGATGAAACAAATAGGAATGGATTCGTATATTTGGAACTTGAGTACCTTAAATTCATTCCCTTGTCTTTTCCTGGTCTCTGTGTGTCATTTAAGGTAAAGATGTTCAGAGTGATGTTTACACAGATACAGTTTTTCTTTTTTTTTTAATGTTTATTTATTTTGAGAGTGAGAGAGAGCGTGCACAGCTGGGAATGGACAGAGAGAGAGCGAGACAGAGAATCCCAAGCAGGCTCTGCACTGCCAGCCCAAAGCCTGACTCGGGGCTCAGTCCCACAACCATGAGATCATGATATGAGTGGAAATCAAAGAGTTGGAAGCTTAACCAACTGGGCCACCCAGGTTCCCCTACACACATATAGTTTCAGTTTGCTGTATGTCCTTCATCTATCTAAATTTTACAGAGGCTGAGGATCAAATAGAAAACCGGGTTTAGAATTGCCCTTGTTCTTTTGCTCCCACAAAACTCTTTCTGTACAACTGAGAGAGTTCTCCTTTTGTGGAAAGTGGCATCTGTCCAAATGTCATCTGAAGCCTGTCTTTCCAAGTGCCATTCAAGCACATGGAGGTTCCTAAGTCAGGAAAGAACCATACACAGGTAATGGACCCATCTCCTGTTTCTAGGAGACCTGTTCTTAAAAGAATCTCTACTAAGGACTTTTTTATTTTTGTTTGTTTGAATTTTTTTAATGGCATTCCAGAGTCCCATTGTTTTTATCTTTTAATTTCTTAATTTGAGTAGAGTTGATACACATGTTAATTAGTTTTAGGTGTACAACTTAGTGATTTGACAAGTTTACACATTATGCTATGCTCACCACGAGTGGACCATCTGTCCTATTACATCGCTATTAGGATATTATTGACTATGTTCCTTATTCTGTGCTTTTTATTCCCATGCCTTACTCATTCCATAATCCAAAGCCTGTACCTCCCTCTCCCCTTCAACTGTTATGCTCCCCCTGATCCCCCAATCCCTTTGGCAACTCATCTGTTTCTTCTCTGTTTTTACAGTTCTGATTCTCCTTTTTGTTTTTTTATTCATTTTTTAAAATTCTAAGTGAAGTCATATGGTATTTGTCTTTCTCAGTCTGATTTATGCCACTTGGCACAATACCTTCTAGGTCCATCCATGTTGTTTCATGTGGCTTGATCTCGTCCTTTTTTATGGCTGTGTAATACTCCACTGTGTATATATACCACATAATATGCCACATAAGTCTATCAGTGGACATTTAGGTTGCTTCCATATCTCGGCTATTGTAAATAATGCTGCAATAAACATAGGGTACATAGATCTTTTCAAGTTAGTGTTTTCATTTTCCCTGGGTAAATACCCGATAGTGAAATTACTGGATCATATGGTATTTCTATCTTTAATTTTTTGAGGCACCTCCATACTGTTTTCCACAGAGGCTGCACCAGTTTGCTTCTACCAACAGTGCACAAGGGTTCCTTTTTCTCCACGTCTTCACCCACACTTGTTGTTTCTTCTTGATTTTAGCCATTCTGACAGGTATCTCATTGTGGTTTTGAGTTGCATTTCCCTGATGACGAGTGATGTTGAGCATCTTTTCATGTGTCTGTTGGCCATCTTTAGATCTTCTTTGGAGAAATGACTGTTCAGGTCCCCTGCCCATTTTTAAAACAGGTTGTTTGGTTTTTTTGGTGTTGAGTTGTATAAGCTCTTTACATATTTTGGATAGTAACTCCTTTTTGGATGTATCATTTGCACATATCTTCTCCCATTCGGTAGGTTGTCTTTTTGTTTGGTTGATTGTTTCCTTTGTTGTGCAAAAGCTTCTTATTTTGATGTGATCCCCATAGTTTGTTTTTGTTTTTGATTCCCTTGCCTCAGGAGACATCTAGAAAAATGTTCCTACCACTGATGTCAGAATGATTACTGCCTATGCTCTCTCCTAGGACGTTTATGGTTTCAGGTCTCACATCGAGGTCTTTAATCTATTTTGAGTTTATTTTTATGTACAATGTAAGAAAGTGGTCCAGTTTCATTGTTTTTAAAACCTCAGGTATTATCTTACTTTGGCACCAGCAGGAGGCAGAGGATGAGGTGTTTCTTCAATATACCATCCTGTTTCCTTTAGCTTCCATCTCTCCTAGGGCTTTCCCTCCGCCCCCCAAGCCTTAATTTCTACATTTTATGCCAAGTTCACATGCTCAGCTCTAAATGCAGGGTGAGCGAGAGGTCTATAGACCCAGGGGCTGGCCCAGATTACTGCAGTCCCCTTAGCTCTCATTGTCTGTGGCTCTCTGCTTCCCTCACCCAGCACTCCCTTTTTTCAAAAATGATCCATTTGGCCATGTCTTGTCTGGGTCTGATGATCCCGACCTTGCTGGCCCCAAGTCAAAGCCAAAGTGCTTGGTTTTTTCATTTGTACAAATAAAGTATGCTTTCCGCCAAAGGAGGCCAGATTCTGTATGATTGTATATTGTTACGAATCTCCTGTGGATATAAAGAAAAATAAACCGTTTGTTTTCATGATAATTTGCCTTTCTTTCTCTTCTCTTCAAACTCAGCTGGAGAGGATTGCAAAAACAGTTGTTATCCCTGGGGGAAGGGAGCAGGGGGAGGGTTCTTGCATCTTAAATACAGACTCTGACTTCTTCCAACATCCAGGCCACTTAGCTCCGAACAGGGAGGATGACCCAGCTCCTTCTGCTGGACCCTCGCTGTCCAAGAGGGTGAGCATAGCCATGTGTGGCCGTCACTGAAATGACGTGTGTCCAGATTCACATGTGCTGTACATAAGGGTAAGTACACAGTGATTTCAAAGATTTAGTATAAGACACAGGATGTAAAATATTTTGTAATCATTTTTATACTGATTACAGGTTGAAATAATATTTTGATAGATTAAATAAAACATCAAAATGAATCTCCCATTTCTTTTTACCTTTTTTTTAATGTTTGTTTATTTTTGAGAAAGAAAGTGAATGGAGGAGGGGCAGAGAGAGAGGAAGACAGAGAATCCGAAACAGGCTCCAGGCTGTCAGCACAGAGCCCGACGCGAGACTCGAACCCACGACCCATGAGATCACGACCTGAGCCAAAATCTGACGCCCAACCAAATGAGCCACCCAGGTGCCCCTCTTTTTACCTTTTTTAATGGGACTACTAGAAAATTGCAATGTGTGTATTTGGCTCACATGATGTTTCTGTTGGTCAGTGCTGATCTGGAGTGGTTCTTCGACACTGGGCCCGGGAAGCGGCAGAGGAGACAGGTGTTGGCAGCAGCTGCTGGGGTTACCAACCCAGTAACAATACCTAAGACACTAAGTTATTGAATGTTCATTAAATGCTGCACACTGTGCTAGGTATTTTCTAGGTGTCGTGTCATTTCATTTTACCAAGGGTGGGTGGGCAACATTCTCCCCCAGTTTATCAAGGAGACTCAGAGAGATTCAGTAACCCAGGGTCACCCAGCAAGGGTTCGAACCCAGGTCTTTCTGATTAAGCCTGTTCTTCTCATCTGTACCTGAGAGAGTTCTGTTGTGAAGGAGAAATGAAACCCCTTACATTTTACAGGGAGTTGTTGGTTCTGCTCTTAAGTGTTTCCATGTGGATTCCTGACATCGGTGAGGTCACTTGTGGCTTTCTCCCTGGAGGCCACGTCTTTGCCAAAAGGTGGGGTCCGTGGCCTGCGTTCCAGCTGCCTTCCCAGTGTTTCAGTCCGTGCCACCAGCCTCCTCCCTCGGCTTGTGTCTGGGATCCGCCCTGCACGGGTTGGAGCAACCAGGAGCACTTTGGGAACGGCACTGCCCCCACCTGGACTATAGTTCTTAACGTCTCCAGAACAACCAGCCACTGTTGGATTCACAGGCTCCGTTCCTTGGGGACCGGCAGGTTTTGGTGGCTGAGAGGTTTGAAGGTTGAAGGATCCTGGGTGACTGTGTCAGAAGAAGATACCCTTCTCTGCACCAGGTCTGCAGGCCCACCAGAGTGGGGGACAGTTACAGATCTGGCTGAAAACATAAACGTGCAAGAATGCAACAGGTGGGGCACCCGGGTGGCTCAGTTGCTTGAGTGTCTGACTTTGGCTCCGGTCATGGTCTCACGGTTTGTGAGTTTGAGCCCCACGTCGAGCTTTGCACTGACAGTGCTGAGCCTGCTTCAGGTTTTGTGTCTCCTTCTCTCTCTGCCCCTCCCCTGCTCCTGTGTGTGCTCTCTCTCAAAAATAAATAAACATTAAAAAAAATACAGTAGGTGATTAGTAACGCTTAGAACGTGATAATCTTTCTTGAGCAGTTGGTTTGGGCAAAGTACTGAAATAGAATATGGAATCATCTGGAAGTTCAAGTGCTTGGGACTCTTTGGGAGTCAGTGGTCCTTTGATTCTTGTTCCTGGGAAAGCCAGTGAAACGAGTGAGGCCACTGAGCTTCTCCTGGCCCTCCCCCAGCTTCAGGCTCTGTCCCTCTACCCTGTCTGGAAGGGGGCTGTGCTGGCTTGTTCGCAAGATGCCCGCACCCCCACCCCAAGGGTATTCACTGCCCTGTGTAGTTTCTGGCCCTTTCTCTTAAAGCTGGGCTAGCTCTGTGACTTGCTTGCTGCCAGTAGGACATGGTGGAAGTGATGCTACGTGACTTCCAAGGTCAGATCGAAAGCGGCCTTGCAGCCTTAGTCTTCTAGAATAGCCTCTGGGAGCCCCGAGCTGACATGCAGAAGTCTGAGCACCCTGAGGCTTCTGTGCTGCAGACACCAGGTGCAGGCGCTCCAATAGACAGTCCCTGCTGAGCATGTCCTTCTAGACCTCCCACTAGGCCACCAGACTGTGAGGGAAGCTGTCTTGGACCCTCTGGACCAGCCCATCTGCCAGCTGACTGCCATCAAGTGACCTTAGTTGATGCCACGTGGGGCAGAAGAATCACCCAGCCCAGCCGCACCTGCGTGAATTCCTGACCACAAAATTATGAGATACGGTAAAATTGTTTTAAGCCACCGAGTTTTAGGGAAATCTGTCCGACAGCAATAGATGCCAGAGCAGAGGTCCTGGGATTCTGGGCCTCTTAGGTGGATCCACTCTGAGCTCCCTGAGCCCCTCCCCGGAACAGAGTCTTGTCCCAGAAGTCGTCCCTGCTTCTGCTGACCTCTAGCCCCAGAGCTGCCCTGCGGAGCGGAGTGGGGGGGGCCCCAGCTGACTGCCCCGGGCTGCCTAGAGCCCCATTACAGAGCAGATCTGTACTTTGCGGTAAGTACCTCCTTTACTCATTCGTTCATTCGAAACACATCGAGAGTCTGCTACATGTCAGGCTCTGTTTGGGCTCTGTGGATATAACCATGAACAAGACAAACTGTCCTGAAGCTTGCTTGCCGAGAGCAGTGAGCACTCCCTGTGTGAGGGCACAGGGGACCTAAGTGAGCAGAGGCGAAGTGGCAGCCGAGCTGAGAGGCAGAAGCCTGTGAGAGGCGGGGAGGCCCGGAGGGAGGTCAGGTCGCCCCCGGGTGGGATTTGAATGCTGGGACGAGAAAGCCTATGTTTAGGAGTGCCCATGATGTTCCATACGGGGTGCAGGGGCTCCCAAGGTGTGAGGTCATGGACTGTTTACAACCCTGAAGGTCCAACTTCGAGATGAGGCCTTGGAGACCCTGACAGGGCAGGAAACCTCCCCAGTCTCCCCACTCCTCAGCCAAGACTCCAGACTTGTTTTCACTACCTGTCTCCCCGGCCCCTCCCCATGGTATGGGCTGTCCAGGGCATTGCCCACCCACCTCACCCCCCCTCCCCAGATCACCACGTTCTAAGCCACCCAGAGGAGCCAAGCCCCCCAGTGGCGGCCCTCCCGCAGGGCCCAGGGCAGTGCTGCTCACCACCAGGCCAGGCCCTAGGCAAGTCACCTGCAGGGCAGCTCCTGGGTCCTCTGAACCAGGCAGCAAACCACCAAGGAAGGCCGAGCCCATTCTGGAGTCTGCACAAGGCTCCCTCTGTCCTGGAACCTTTCTGAGGCAGCAGACACCCTGAGCTCCTGGTGAAATGAGGGATTCTTTGCTCCTGCTGTGAGCTGATTTTCGGGGGCGTGACAAGCAGCTGCACGGCCTTAGTAAAACGCACAGTGGCGTATAAAGCTTTGTGTGGTTCCATCCAGGATTCACTGGGGAGGGGTCTGAATGAACCAAGCCCCTCACCCCCTCAGCTCCCCTCCTTTGGCAGCTGAGAGTGGAATCCCATTTCGACAACTGCCTGAGCCAAAAGGAACTTTTGAGTCATTTACTTCCTGCCTGCGGTGTGAAAAGGCCCACGGGGCTGGCAAGGCAAGGCCTTTGTGCCCATTTGTCTTCACAGTGTCCCTCTGAGGGAGCCTCAGCGAGAGCAGTGGAGCCTTGGGAATGTGGAGACTTAATCCAGGCACCATTCCCAGGCCCGGCGGATCTGTGTGCTTGGTGAAAAGGGCAGTAGGGCAGAGGTGGAATCTTAGGGTCTGTCCAGGCTCTCTCTGTGCCCTGGCAGGTGATGTCAGTCATTCCTTCATTATCTCCTCACTCCCTCATTCATCACACCCATATCACGTGCCCGTGGGGTGCTAGTCTTGGTTACCGGTGCTTCCGTTTTCCCCAGGAGAGCTAACCTGCCTTCCTGAAGAAGTCAGCCTCTCCACTGCTGAAAGTGAGGCCTGGCTAATCTTACCAGCGAGGCCATGGGCCCATTCCGCCCCCGAGGGAAGCTTGTGGTCATCCCCGAGGCAGAATCTCCCGTGTTCTGGCGGGAACAGCTCTGGGCGACTTTCTGTGTGCTTCTAGACGTAAAGCAAATACAGTTGACCCTTGAGCAATGTAGGGGATAGGGATGCTGACCTCCTGCAGAGTCAAAAATCCACATATAACTTTTGACTCCCCAGAAACTTAATAGCCAGCCTACTGTTGACCTGAAGCCTTACCAATAACATAAACAGTTGATTATGCATATTTTGCATGTCATCTGTATTATATACTGTATTCTTACAATAGTGGAAGTGAGAGAAAAGAAAATGCTATTAAGATCATAAGGAAGAGAAAATGCATTTGTAGTACTTTAGGTATATTTTTTGAAAAAAAAAAAAAAATCCATGTATACGTGAACCCGATGCATTCAAACCCATGTTGTTCAAGGATCGCTATGCACATTCCCTGTTCTCACAGAGGTCCGGGGCCTACAAGAAGGCCTGCAGACAGAGGTTTGTTTAAAAAACAAAACAAAACAAAACCACTCACAACAGCTTTGGGGCACTTGGGGGGCCCAGTTGGTTGAGCTTCTGACTTTGGCTCAGGTCATGATCTCATGGTTCATGGGTTCGAGCCCCATGTCCGGCTCTGCACTGACAGTGTGGAACCTGTTTGGGACTCTTTCCCTCTCTCTCTGCCCCTGTCCCTCCCTCCCTCCCTCCCTCTCTCCCTCTCTCCCTCTTTCTCTTTCTCTCTCTCTCAAAATAAATAAAATAAACTTAAAAAAATATATATATAGGGGCGCCTGGGTGGCGCAGTCGGTTAAGCGTCCGACTTCAGCCAGGTCACGATCTCGCGGTCCGTGAGTTCCAGCCCTGCATCAGGCTCTGGGCTGATGGCTCGGAGCCTGGAGCCTGTTTCCAATTCTGTGTCTCCCTCTCTCTCTGCCCCTCCCCCGTTCATGCTCTGTCTCTCTCTGTCCCAAAAATAAAAATAAAAAAAAAAACGTTGAAACAAAAAAAATATATATAAATAAATAAAGCACCTTGGGGGTGCCTGGTTGGCTTAGCTGGTAGAACACATGAATGACTCTTGATCTCGGGGTTGTGAGCTTGAGCCCCATGTTGAGTGTAAGAGATTACTTAAAAAATAAAATCTTTAAAAAAAAAACAGCTTTACTGAGATATAATTCATATGCCCTAAAATTCACCCAAAGTATACAATTCAGCGGGTTTTAGTACGTTTGCAGAAGTCTGCAACCATCATCACTCATTTTAGAATATTTTCATCATCCCAAGAAGAAACCCCACAATCATTGTCTTTCCTCCCTCCCCTGCTCCTGCTGACACAGGCAATTCACCTTCTACGTCTACAGGTTTGTCTGTTCTGGAGATTTCATGTGAACGGGGATCATGCAGTACCTGGTCTTTTGTGTTAGACTCTGGTTTTTTGTTTTGTTTTTTTTTTTCAACGTTTTTTATTTATTTTTGGACAGAGAGAGACAGAGCATGAACGGGGGAGGGACAGAGAGAGAGGGAGACACAGAATCGGAAATAGGCTCCAGGCTCCGAGCCATCAGCCCAAAGCCTGACGCGGGGCTCGAACTCACGGACCGGGAGATCGTGACCTGGCTGAAGTCGGACGCTTAACCGACTGCGCCACCCAGGCGCCCCTAGACTCTGGTTTTTAAGTAGTTCATATACTTCCACCAAAGGCTGCTTCCTGTAGGAGCCACATCTCTGCCTGGGGTGGGAGTCCTGAACGTGGGGCATGGAAAAACGGAGAGGGTGGGTAGGAACAAGGGGACCCAGGCACCTTGAGGGAGGTAGTGGGAGGGAGTGTGGTCAACGCTCTTCCAGAACCCTGGGGGGAATCTGGTCTCAGTTTATCTTTCAGCAATGCCCCATTTGATCCTCAGGCCTTCAGCCAAGTCTGTTATTGCAGGACATCCTGGTGTTGGCCGTGCCTTGGGGAATAAAGGGTGTGGGTCTCCTGTGTGTGGTGAAGTTGGACAGGGGAGAGGAGGAATGGGCACCACTATTGGGTCAGGCAGTACTTCTGAGGTCCTGGGGGTGAGGACTCCAACATACCTTTATGTGGGGGACACGATTCAACCCAATTCATTACTAATGAATGGCCATCAGTTTTACTTGAGAGGCTGTATATACAGCTAACAGATGCAGCTCCCACCTCCTGTGTGGCCCGTGAAGCTTATCTGACTGGGTTCAGGCCAAGGAGATGTAAGCAGAACTTGGTGGGTGAGACTTGGGGACAGCTCCTTCAGAGACTTCAGATAGGTAGATCTCCTGCCTTCTTCCTGCTTCTTTTCTAGATCGAGGGCATGATAGCTGGAGTTCTAGCATCTGTCTTGGGCCCCGAGATGACCTTCAAGTTGGAAGCTGTGTTCTAAGAACAGTGGGGCAGAAGCTAGAAGGAGCCCGGGTTTCTGATGAGACGGTGGATTCACCACGCCAGCCATGGGCTGCCCACCTCCAACCATTTTAAGTGGGAGAGAATAATTAAGTTCTCCTTTGTTATTTCGCATCTCTGTTACTAAAAGCCAAAGGCGACCCTAATGGAGACGGCCTCCAAGGAGCTCGTATGGCACACTGGGAAAAGTGTGTAGTAATACTTGGGCATAAGACATTCCTGAGTGAATACTTCTCCTGGGATCTGTTTATACACACAGTTGCCTCACAGCGTAAAAATGACCTCTCTACTTGTCCCTACCCCCTACATTGTAAGCTCCTCGAAGACAGGGTCTATGTCTATCACTGTTTCCTCAGTGCCTCACACAGAGCCGGCCCACAGAAGGTGCTCAGAACGTGTTGACCTGAATGGATCCTAAATCCTCTACATTTACCAACTCTGCGGTCTTGGATTCTGAGTCTTAATTTGCTTACCAATAAAAATGGAGGCTATCATACCAGGGCTGTTTTAAAAACGAAGCACAATTGGGGTGCCTGGATGACTCAGTTGATTGGGCATCCGACTTCCCCTCAGGTCACGATCTCAGGGTTCGTGGATTTGAGCCCTGCGTCGGGCGCTGTGCTGACAGCTCAGAGCCTAGAGCCTGCTTCAGATTCTATGTCTCCTTCTCTCTCTCTGTCCCTTCGCCCCTCACTCTCTGCCTCTCTCAAAAATAAACATTTAGAAAGGTTTTTAAAAAGTGAAGCACAATTAAATGTAGAGCATTTATCAAAACACCTAACGGGGTTGGATACCCAAGGAATGGTGGCCAGCATTGCATTATGATTTTCTATAAGAAATCTTGTTCTAGTCCCCATGTGAGGCTCCACTGATTTCTGACAACCAGAGTTTACTTTTTCCTAAGACCAAGTCTCTGACTTACGTTGTGTTCATTAGGGTCCCATCTTACTCTCTTTGCCTTCTTTTGGTCTTGAGAACCTCATTGGCACATGAGTCCCTACATTCCAATTTTGGCACCTTCCAGTCTGTGCCTTCTGGTGCAAGTAAGCCTTCCATGCTGAGCCAGGTTATTAGCTAAGTCAGGATATGGGAAGCACTGGGGGCTGTACATTCTGCCCAAGGGTCTTGGTGAGTAAAGACGGTCTTCCCATGAAGTTGCAAAGATGTCCCTATTGTCCCACTGTTCCTGGTACCCCAGCCACTTGTCACGTGATGGAGCCATTTCCCCTCTGCTTGGATATGGGCCACCCTTGTGACTGGTTTTGGCTACAAAGGCAGTGAAAGTTGTAGAGGCCTCTTTTAGGCAAACAGACTTGAACGATGGAAGGTAGAAAGGGTCCACGGCGACCACCTGGCTAAATAGACAGGCCCATCAGGAGACCCATCTCGGAATCTCCATAGGCCCTAACTAACCAATGAGCTACTTACAACTGGGCACAGTTACCAAAAGAGGGAACACTCCATATGTCTCCCATACCTCCTCATCTTCTCCCTTTAAAAACAGCCCCAGCTACTGCCACTGCCTCGGTGCAAAGGTACAGACAGACTCTCTGTGCTGTCCAGCCCACGGCTCCTTGTGGTATATGCATTAAACTTTGATCGCCTTTGTTCTGCCCCAGGGGAATTCTTTGCTTCCTGTTCCACCAGCTTCTACCCTATCCTCGCTCCACACTTGGGGGCCCTCCATCCAACCAGACAGATGCCCCACTTAGACACCATGGAAGTGACATTACCAATTTTGAGCTGAGGCCTTAGGAAGCCTTATATTCTACCGACTCCCTTGGCTTCTTCTCTGAGCCCTGTCTACTAGGCCTTTTCCTTGGCCTGCTGAGTTCAGTGCAGCCAGATTCCTGCCAAGCCAGTTTAGCAAGCATCCCTCCCTACCCTCCATACCTAACCAAGTTCCTCTTGGTATTTTTCCATCCACTGACTCCCTCACCCTGCCCATTGGCTGTAAGTCCCCAGCTCTCTGTCATATTCAGAGTTGAGTTCAATCTCGGTCTCCTATTACAGTAGTCTTGATCTCTATTTCAATAATCTTGAGCAGTTTTCCTCACTTGTTTAACTCTGTCCAGTGTTCCATGTTCTCTTTGACAGCTTCCACCATGGGAACAAGCCCAGACGTGGCTGCCAGAAGATAAGAGACCATGTGGAACAAGGCTAAGTCCTTCCTGCCAAGGCCACCCTAGACCAGCCTGCCCGTAGTGACTGCAGACGCATAAATGAGCCTGGATGAGATCAGCTGAGCTCCGCTTAGGTAAGCAGACTGTCCAACCGCCCCCGAGGTGCCTGAGAAATAATCAATGTCTGTTGGTTGATACCACTACAATCAGGGGTGGTTTGATCCGCAGCAACATTGTGGTCAATATAGGTGATGACAGATACAGCAGAGAAGGAAAAGCTGAGAGAAGCAGAGCAGAAGTTCTTTGGGAAAAAGCCCCTGCCCTGAGCTCCTTGGGTCCTGCAGTGTTCATCCTCTGGTTCCCACAGCATTAGGAGGGGCAGCCCTATCTATCTCTTTGGCTACCACAGCCAGAAGGAGGAGGCATGGGGGAATGGAGTGAGAGCTGACCGTGTGAGTCCTGCAGTCGCCAGGCAACACCAAAGAGGCCAGGGAGGACGGAGCCTCGGGGCAGGAAGGGACTGGCTGGAGCTGGGGTCACCTTAGCGGTCTGCGCCCGCTGGGGAACAACTAAGTCCTACACTGCCCATCACTTGAAGTGAACACATTGGGACCAAGCTGTTAATAGCAGGCCGAAGAACTCTGAAAGACCAGCAGCCAGAACGTACTGCACTCTGGGTCCCCTTCTTGAATATTCTCTTCCCCAGTCTGCGCCCCACCCAACCCTGGGCCTGTTGTTCTCTCACACAGCTTCTCTTGTCTCCTCGGCCATATTTTTATTCTTGTGTTTTTTAAACATTTTGTTTTAAGTTTGCTTATTTATTTTGAGAGAGAGAGAGCAGGGGAGGGGCATAGAGAGAAGAGGAGAGAGAGAATCCCAGGCGGGCTCTGCGCTGGCAGCAGAGAGCCTGACGTGGGGCTTAAACCCACAAACAGTGAGATCATGGCCTGAGCCAAAAACCGAGAGTTGGACATTCAACCATTTGGGCCACCCAGGCACCCCTGTTTTCGTATTTTTAAAAATTGTGGTAAAGTAGGGGTGCCCAGGTGGCTCAGTCGGTTAGGTGTGCAACTTCGGCTCAGGTCATGATCTCATGGTTTATGAGTTCAAGCCCTGCTTGGGCTCTGTGCTGACAGCCCGGAGCCTGCTTCATATTCTGTGTGTCTCCCTCTCTCTCTCTCTCTCAAAATAATAATAATAATAATAATAATAATAATAATGATAATTAACAAATTAATTAATTAATTAAAACTGTGGTAAAATACATCTAACTTAAAATTTACAATTTTAACCATTTTCAGTGTATATTTCAGTGGCATTAAATATGTTCACAATGTTGTACAACCATCACCACTATTTCTGGAACTTTTTCATCACCTCAGATGGAAATTCAGTACCCGTTAAACAGTAACTCCCTACTCCTCTGTCACCCGGCCACTGCTAACCTCTATTCTACTTTCTGTGTCTATGAATTTGCCCATGCTAGGTACCTCATATAAATAGAATCATATATCGGTTCTTTTGTCCTCTCAGCCCTTTATTCTCAAAACCAAAAGTTTTGTGTTTAGATCTCTGAAAAGCAGCCCACTAGGGATAAGGACTTTCTTTCTTTTTTTTTAAGTTTTAATTTATGTATTCGTTTAAGTAATCTCTACACCCAACGTGGGGCTCGAACTCACAGCCCCAACATCCAGAGTTGCACACTCTTCCAACTGAGCCAGCCAGGCACCCCATCCAAACCAAAAGTTTTGTTTTTAGACATCTGAAAAGCAGCTCACCAGGGATATGCACTTTCTTCAATACCCATCCCCCCTCTTTTGACCCCCTGCAAGAGTTGGGCTGCATGACTGTGACCTTGGGGTATAAGGTGTATGGGGTATGGGTGTCCCTGTCCTCATCAAATCTCCTCAAAAAACAAATCTCTCCTCCTGACCAAGCTCCTGAGGAGGGGCCATGAGGACACCCCAGCCTGCATTTTACTTTCTGCTTTGTGAGTCCAGCCCTTCATTCTCCCTGCACACTCTGAGCTATACCAGTTTGCTCTCCTTCCAGTCGGATGGGGAAGCCATGGTATGCTGAGGGAGCTGTGGGCCTCAGGTTTGTCTCACCAACCCCCAGAGGACCAGGTCCACGCTCCTGGAGTGGCCCCAAGGTGCCCCACAAAATTTTAGGTCAAAAGCTTAACAAATAAGTACTGCTTTAATAGCAGAGGCCCTGGCTTGAGGTAAGTTGGAAGCAGACCGGTCCTATGGGGCCAGAGCAGTCTGGTGGGGCCTCAAGTCTGCAGGCTGCCTGTTTGCACAAGTTGATGAGGTAAAGTAAGTAGATGAGGAAAGAAATGCGGAATACCGCTAAGTTTCCACCCACTGCTGCCCCTTCCCCCACCGTACACATGCTCGCTCACGTACGCACACGCGCGCTTGTTCACACGCACGCTTTCACACGCTGACATACTCTCTCCCCACCCCCACCTCACACACACCTGCCTCAGGGACTCATGTTTTCCAAGGCTGAGATGAGAAGGCTGGACAGAAGTCAAAGGAACTATTTTCCAGAAGACCCTGGGGCCCATGAGCAGTGGGATCAAAGGTGAAACTGAGAGGGAGAGCAGGGTCTTTTTCTCTCCCTTATCTTTGAGAATTTAGCACTGCTCTGGCCCTTTGGCAAGCTGGGGACAGCACCTGGGGGCCAGTGGGCTGGCAGTGGTGGCGCCCGAGGTGGGGAAGCTGCCTTGAGAGACTGTGGGTACCCGGGGCGGGGGGGGGGGGGGGGGGAAGTGGGTAAGGAGAAGGGGAAGTGGCAGGGAAGCAGGACTGTCAGCTTGTTATCATGTGTATGATTCCCCCCCCCAGGAGCTCTCAGGGGGTCTTTGATCAACTTTGCCCACAGTAGGGGCGCCAAACAGAAAATTCTACCTCGTCCTAAGTGTAGAATTTATTTTTATCTCACAGGATAAAAACCAGCAAAACTGATTCTTCATTGTCAAGAATTCCCTACCTCCCTTTCCTCCGTGGTCTTTCCCAGTTCCCTTGGTTAGGCAAGTCCACTGCCGCCGGTGTTGAGATCTGTGGAGTCTGGGCAGGAAGTAAGGAACCCTGCCGGACCCCCATCCTCCTGTCTTTATTATTTATTTATTTATTTATTAAAAAAAATTTTTTTTAACGTTTATTTATTTTTGAGACAGAGAGAGACAGAGCATGAATGGGGGTAGGACAGAGAGAGAGGGAGACACAGAATCGGAAGCAGGATCCAGGCTCTGAGCCATCAGCCCAGAGCCCGACATGGGGCTCGAACTCACGGACCGCGAGATCATGACCTGAGCTGAAGTCGGATGCTTAACCGACTGCGCCACCCAGGCGCCCCATCCTCCTGTCTTTAAAATGGACAATCATCCCTTCATAGGTTTGTTGAAATAATTAGATAGGAAAAAGCCATATATATATGAATATACATATGATATGTATGTGTATATATGTATATATTCACCATGTCTATGTACATAGGTCTGTGTATGCACACCATATATATGTACTATGCATAGCACCCAGCACATGGTAAGCAGTAAATATCACTATTGCTATCTTTATCCTCATCTATGATGGCTTTCCACAGCAGTTGGCTTTAGGTGGCAGGAGATTGGAATAAATGGAATGTGACCCGGAAATAAAGTGACATTTAAGTCTATTAGCACTTACATCATCCAAGTGAACATGGAGTCACCCCGGAAGTCCTCATTCCTTCATTCGGGATGTCACAGAACAGGATGCATTACATTCTCCAGACGTCCGTGACGTCTGTACTTAAGAGAACGGTAGTTTCTCAGGCTGGTTCACTTTCCTGATCTCCACGGCTGTTCCAAATACTTTCGTTCTCTTCAAACCCCTTTCCCCTTACTTGCCCTTCTGTCTGGGCCTTGCCTCTCACCGAAAGGGAAAATAGAAGCTGTCAGATGGGAACTTCACCTTCCCATCTCATCCATGCAAACCTGCTCACCTGGGCACTTCGCTTCCCTTCTCTTTACCTCCCCTCCCACTTAGGGTTAATCCCTCTTCTCTGCTCCTTCTGATTCTAGCTCCTCCTGCCATCTCAGGAACCTGACCACATCTTTCTTTTGGTAATTTGACCCCTGTCTCTCACCTGGCTGTAGACACCCTCAAGTCTTTTTTTAGCAACAAGAAAACAGAAATAAAAAACAACGAACTTGACCTCTTTCTTCATCCCCATTGTCAGGAGCTGGCTCCCCCAGTACTGCCAACACCCCCACTGAGGAGACAAAGCGACCGCTGCTTGGTGTGGTGGGCAGGAGGGAAGTGCAGTGAAGCTTGGTTTTCAGAGGAGGGAAGACAAGCCCAGAATGCATCAGGACTCGGAAGCTGGGTTTGAGGTTAGTCTTTCAAGGTGAGGGATCTAGGACTTGGGTAACGAGCTTGATACCACAGCCCAGGATTGGTGGGGGCGGCAACGGGAGGGATTCAAAGCATCTCCAGGCACAGACCGTATGTGCTTCTCATTGAAGAGTTGATGGGTATCTGGGGGAAGTTACTGTAGTGAGCAATCACCATGTTTGCTTGGGAGGACGGTCGCGAAGAGTGGAGGAATGCCAGCGAAGACGGGACTAGCGACCTCACGCCAACTGGGCAGTAAGGCGTGGTTTCACTTCCCTGCGTCCAGGCTGAGTGTGGGGTGGAAGGTTTTGGTTCTCAGCTTTGAGCTTCAGCCCTAGCTCCTTCCTCACATTCACAACTAAACTCGTCAAAACAATTTCTCTGCTTGCTGACGCCAATTTCTCGCCTCCTCCTCACTCGGAGCCTGATGTGGGGCTCGAACTCACGGACCATGAGATCATGACCTGAGCTGAAGTCGGAGGCTCAGTCGACTGAGCCACCCAGGTGCCCCCCCTCAGGTACCTTCCAAAACAGCAGTCGTCCTCAGCCGCGATCCTGTCTTTCAATCTGGTTGATACTTTGCAGGCCTCATCACACAGGGCCTCTAGGGCCTCGGTCTCCTGCTCCTCGGTGCCCTATGACCCAACATGCCCCAGGGGTCCTGCTATCTCTCTCACACCACTCTTTCTCTGCTTTGTAGACACATCCCCGTCTGTCCAGGTGTTAAACATTATCGTCCCACCAGGCCTGGTCCTGGGTCTGCCCTCCTCCCTCTATGCTTGCCCCCCTGGCAAAGCCATGTGTTCACGCACTCCAGGCACATTTGTAAACGTATGTCTCCAGCTTGACCTGTCTTTGGAGCTCTGGACCCACATACACAACAGTCTACATGACATCTCCTCTGAATGTCTCCAAGCCTTTACACTCCAAGATCTCTGTGGAAGCTAACACTGTGACAAAACAAACAAACAAAACAAAACAAAAACAAATTTCAGGGGTTTGACATAGTAAAAGCTTACTCCTCTCTGATATGCCGGTCCAGAGCAGGAGTTTCTGGTCTGCTGGTCATCTCTCCCACATGGTGACTCAAAGGTCCAGGTTCTGTGCCACCTGCTGTATCTTCAGAGTCCTCTGCATTTATCCAGTGGGCAGTACAGGAGAGGAACGAAGTACATTCCCTCTACCCTCCTAGATTTAATAGCCAGGTCTATGAAATAAACTGACAACAGGCAGATTAATAGGAGAAAAGTATACAAATGCATTCATTTTTACTATTACACTACTGGGGATATCACAGGATAAAACTAAGTGAATACCCCCAAAATGGTGAGAATTGAAAGCTTAAATACTGTCTTATAGGGGAAGGGGAGGGGAGATAAAGACAATGCAGGAAAGAGGAAATTATTTTTAGGAAGGATGAGAGACCAGATGGGAGGTATGACAGGGTACGAGAAAGTTTGTCTGGCTGTGGTGCTGGCTTCCAGTCCTCTCCTGTGAGAAGAGTCAATCTTCTTGGGTTGATGAAACTCCCCAGGCGGGGAATCTATGACAATGGAGTTTGTTTTGGAGGATCTGACTTTAGGCAGGTAAGGGGACTGCAGAGAAAGCAAACTGCTTTTACTGGTTTTCAAGTGCCTTCAGTTCAAAATAACTAATTTGCCAAAGTGGCACATTTTGGGTTGGCACGTCCTGAACTCCTTCAACAGGGAAAAAGGGAGTGTCAAGGCCACATCTGAGTTTTAAAAGCTTTGGCCTGGGAAATGGTATCACTTCTACTCATGTTCTGTTGACCAAAAGAACCCCCCCCAAAACAAAAAACAAAAAACAAAACAAATCAAACAAAAAGTCACGTGGTATTATGGGTTAGATTGTTGCCTACCATCACCCCAAAAAAGATATGTTCAAGTCCTAACCACAGGTACCTGTGGATGCGACCTTATTTGGAAATAGAATCCTTTGCAGATGTAATCAGGTTAAGATGAGGTCATATTGGCCAATCACATGACGGGTGTCCTTACAAGATGTTAGAAAGTTGAGCATGCAGATATACCCAGAGGGAAGGTGACCAGGCGAAGACGCTGAGACACAGGGGAGAATGCTATGTGAAGACAGAGGCAGGGATTGAAGTGATCCGTTTATAACCTAAGGGACACCAGGAATTGCCAGCAACCATCAGAAGCTATGGAACAGATAGATTCTCTTTCAGAGCCTCTGGAAAGAACTGACCCAGCCGCCACCTCCATGTTGGACTTCCAGCCTCCAGAGCTATGAGAGAATAAGGGTATATTAAGTCACTCAGTTTGTGGCACTTTGTTACTGCAACCACAGAAAACCAGTACACCTGGCCACACCCGGATACAAGAGGAAACGTAGTCCCACATTTTGGTGAGAACTCCATCCTACTGAAGGGCTTCTGTCACAATATGGAAGCCTGAACTCACCCTCTTCCCTTCCAATCCTTTATACCCTAGTATGGGCACTGCCCTCGTTGTAGTTGTCAAGGCTAGAAACTTGGGATCAGCCGTGACCTCTCCTTCTTCCTCCCCTCCCATATCCAATACTAAGTCCTAAATATCTCTAGAGTGTATCATTTCTCTCGGTCTCCATCACAACCCACTCCCCACACTGACACCCCATGTCCTGATCACTGCAGAAGTCTCCTGACTGGTCTGCCTTTGCCCGTGCTAGTTCCTCGTTGAGCTTCCAGACTCCTGCCACAATTCAGTTTCTAAATCTCAAATCTGCTCATGTTATCATCCTATTTAAATATGTTAAAGATGTTCCATTGTCTAGAGGATAAAGGTAAATTCCTTGTGGTCAACAGAGGCCTTCATAGTCTGACTGATGGTTCATTTGATGTGTCAACTTGACAGAGCCATAGGTGCCCAGACATTTGGCCAGACATTATTCTAGGTGTGTCTGTGAGGGTGTTTCTGGATGAGATCAACATTTGAATGGGTAACTAAGGCTGGTTGCCCTTTCTGATGTTGCTGGGTCTCATCCAATCAACCTGAAGACCTGAATAGAACAAAAAGACTAAGAGGGAAATCCTCCTGCCTAATTGTCTGAGCTGGGACCCTGGTCTTTTCTGCCTTCAGACTCAAATGGAAAAACCCACTCTTCTTGGGTCTTGAGACTGTTGGCTTTTAGATTAGAGTTTATGCCTTTGGTTCTCCTGGCTTTCAGTATTTTGGGCTTAGGCTGGAAATACACCATCGCTGTCTTGGGCCTCCAGCTTGCTGACTACAGATCTGAGGACTTTTCAGCCTCCAGTCATGTAAGCCTATCTATCTATCTATCTATCTATCTATCAATCATCTACTATCTATTATCTATTCTCTCTCTCTCCATCCATCCATCCTTCCATCCTTCCATCCTTCCATCCTTCCATCCTTCTTCTTGGTTCTTGGTTCTGCTACTCTGGAGAAGCCTGACTAATATATTGACCCTATCTATCTCTCTACACACCACACTCCCACCTGATGTTAGGGCTTTGCACATGCTCTCCCCCTAGAAAATCTGTTCCTTCTCATCTTGCCCAATTTACTGCTACTCATTTTTCCTATCTCAGGTCAAGCATCACTTCTTCCCTAATTTCCTTGACCAGGTCCACTCTCTCAACTAGATATTCATTAACACACCATGAATGCCTCCACTGTAGGACTTGTCAAAGTTATGTGGCCATTTCACTATGTGTCTTCCCTATAGCCTGTGAGCCTCAGGAAGATAGTTACCATGTTGGTAGTAACTACTACTCACTACCATGCCCCAGCACCTAGCTCAGTGCCCAGCCAAAAGAATGTGTGGATTGAGTTTTGCCACCACTTGCAGGGGACATCTACTTGGAATACACGCCAGGAATGATCAGGGCTGTGATAGACAGTTATCCTTGTCCTAGGTTGGGGAAGAGGGAAGAGACAAAGAATAGGTGGCTTACATCCAGGGGTTGTTCTATGGGGACCTGTCATCACCACAGCAAGGGCACCAGTCAGAATGGAGGCAGAAGGGTGGCTGGAGGCAAGTCAGGACAGATGCCACTCAGTTGCTCCAAGGACACTGACATCACTCAAAGCATCACTGGAACAGGCCATCTGAAATTACCTATTTTCTCTCTTTTTAAAAAAAATTTTTTTAACGTTTATTTATTTTTGAGACAGAGACAGAGCATGAATGGGGGAGGGACAGAGGGAGACACAGAATCTGAAACAGGCTCCAGGCTCTGAGCTGTCAGCCCAGAGCCCGATGCAGGGCTCGAACTCATAGACCACAAGATCATGACCTGAGCCTAAGTCAGACGCCTAACTGAGTCACCCAGGCACGCCCCCCCCCCTTTTCTCTCTTTAAGGCTTGCTATGGACTGGATTGTTGTGTCCCCTCAAAATTCATATATTGAAACCCTAATCCCTAATGCAGTGGTATTTGAAGATGGATCCTTTGGGGGTAATTTCGTCATGAGGGTGGAGCCCCCATGAGGGGATTAATGCCCTTATAAGAAGAAACACAAGGAGCACCTGGGTGACTCAGTAGGCTAAGCATCCAAATCTTGATTTCGGCTCAGATCGTGATATCATGGTTTTGAGATCAAGCCCTGTGTCGGGCTCTGTGCTGGGCATGGAGCCTACTTATGATTCTCTCTTCTGATCCCACCTCTTTCTCTCTCTCTCTCTCAAAAATAATGAGAAGAAGAAGAAAAAGAAATACAAGAGAGTTTGCCCTTCTCTTTGCTCTCTGCCACACGAGAATACAGTGAGAAGATGGCTTTCTGCAAACCAGAAAAGATTGCCCTCACCAGTCACCAGATGTGCCGGTGCCTTGCTCTTGGACTTCCCAGCCTCCAGAACTGAGAAATAAATGTTTGTTGTTTAAACTACCCCAGTCTATGGTATTTTTGTTATAGCAGCTCAAGCTAAGACAAAGCCGGATTTTATTTTTTGAAAACGCCGGATGCCATTTGGTGCGAAAAGTCACTGGAGTAGGTGATGGCTCAGAATGACAGTGTTTCAGGTCAAAACGGGAGGTGAAGATATGTCTTAACGAGACTGATCTCTTATCCCACTGATCCTCTTTTCGTGCCAGACCCAGAAGGGGAATCTCCCACATGCTTTATACCACAGACTAATGCTAATAGCTGATGTGTAAGTGCATGCTGTGTGTCAGGGTCTACCTGCATACTTCATGTTCATTATCTTGTGGGCCCCTCACCACCTCCTGAGAGAAAAAGCCAGAGTCAATCCCATTTTAGAGCTAAGGTCTGAAGCTTGGGAAGGTTTCATAACTGCCCCCAGCTGCGTCGGCTCATGAGGGGCAGAATGCACCTGCTACGAGAACGTGCACCTCGGACGTCACAGCCATTCTTTGAACCACTCTCGTGTGCTGCCTCCCGAGTGACTGCCTGAGAGAGCAGTGATTGTTTAAATAAGGTTTAGAATCATTATTACAGCAATAGCCTCATTATATTTCACTAGGGGAGATAAAGCACGTGAAAGTGCTATGCTATTAATTACTACTGTAATACGTACATGTGCCCACACACACACACACACGTGAATGGAGATAATGGAAAGGAGACATGCTTTCCAGATCCTTGCTACTAAAAGTACTAAAAATGTGGCTTGTGCCCGGAAACATTGGTTCCCCAGAATCTCGAGTGCCCTCCTAGATGTGCCGACTCCATATCTGCTCTTCAACAAACCCACATGCTTGGTAAAGTTTGAGAAGCCCTTTCAGGATCAGAATCTTTGCCTTCCACCTATGACTCCACACTAACAGCTATGACCTGCAAACTTCTGGAGGTAGAAAAATCACTGGGGAACTTGTTGCAAATATGGATTCCTGGGTCTCACTCTCGGAGATTCTAGAATTCCCGGGCCTTTTCATTTCTAAAAGACATGCCAGGTGATTCTGATGCATCTGATCCTACTAGGACTCGTACTTTGACAAGTGCTCATCAAATATTTCTTTAGTTTTCCAGCAGAAAATACGTCCTTAATAGTAACTTAATAGTAAAAGCTCTGGAAACTGCTTTTGGCAACAACAAAAGTCCAGATCTTGTCTTCATTGGAATCAAGAGAACTGTTTTAGTTTGGGAAAGTCTATATAATAAACCTCTAATTCTCCTCCTTCTCTGCCTCTCCCTTCGCATCTGATTTCTATTCACTTCTCAGCAGCTGGGGCTCATGCTTTGATTTAGAACGGTGGTAGAGACTTCCTGAGAATCATTTTAATCATTCTGAAAAAAATGAAAAGCTTGCACTGTCTTTTTTGAGATAGTTGAGTTAGCACACCTTTTTGGACCACTTGGGGCATGTGAGCTCTGCGAATCCCACAGAGCAAACTAAGGTCTCTCAAAAGTGAGAACTCGGGGGTTTCAATGACCAGACAGCTACGGAAAATACCCATCCCCAAAAGGTGATTGGGAATTAAAGGGACTTCCCAAACTTGGAATGGCCCAAGAGCTTTCAGCGAAATTGACACTGTGGGCTGCTCTGTGTGCTTAGAGAGGCCATCCACGTTCAGTGACCGTGTGGTGGAAATGTGTGCTGAGGTGTGGGGAAGCCTGGAAAGGACAAGGGGACTGTGTGACAAGTCGAGAAGCAGGAGGCCCTTTGCTGGGCCCGGAGGACAGGTGGCGGCCAAGGACCAGAGGGAGCTTTGAGGTTTGGATGGGGCAGGAGACCCCAGACGTGAAGCAGAGGTGCAGAGAGAGGGATTTCAGATGGACAGGAAGGAGGAAATGCAGGCTATGGGTTGACTGCAGGGGGTGGGACAGCCAGGAAAGCTTGTGACGAAGGCAGTTGGGAGATGAGCCAGTGAGGAAAGTGATTGCATTGCACAGATGGAGAAGCAAAGGAGTATCCTGGTAGAGAAGAGGAAAGCAACTTCCATCCTTCTTCCCTTCCTTCCCCTCCTGTCCCGTCCCCTCCCCTCCTGTTAGTGTATGTGCTGCCCAGAGAGCAACGCTTTCTCTCTTTTTGTTAATGTTTATTTATTTTTGAATGAGAGAGAGACGGAGGGGGAGTGGGGAAGGGCAGAGAGAGAGAGGGAGACACAGTATCTGAAGTAGGCTCCAGGCCCTGAGCTGTCAGCGCAGGGCCTGATGTGGGGCTCGAACTCACGAACGGTGAGATTATGACCTGAGCCGAAGTCAGAAGCTTAACCGACTGAGCCACCAAGGCACCCCAAAACCCTTTTTCTGAGAGCAGAAGATTGGGGGCTGGAGGTGGGGGCGGGGGTGGAAAGAACACAACCATCTAGGTCCTCGGGGCTGGGTAGAGGATAGGAAGCATCCCATCCAGAGCAGCCTGTTTGGATTCTGATCTGACATGTCTGTAGAGCCTGAGTGGACACGTAAATGGCCTTGACTTGGTGGGTAATGGACACTCTGAGTATTATGGGCTGAACTGTGTGCCCCCTAAAGTCATGTGTTGAAGCCCTAACCCCCAGAGCTCAGAACGTGACCCTGTCTGGAGACTGGGCCTTTAAGAGGTAGTTAAGGTTAAATGAGGCCGGCATGGGTGAGATCTCATCCAGTCTGACTGTTGTCTTTAGAAGAAAAGGAAAAGCTGGGCCCCCGGAAGAGACACCAGGGATGTGCAGTCACAGAGAAAAGGAAGAAGAGGCCGCAGGAGAGACCCCAGAGGAAGCCAACCAACCCTGCCAGCACCTCCGTCTCAGACTGCGAGCCTCCAAAACTGTGAGAAACTGACTTTCTGTTGCTGCCCGGACTGCAGGGCTGTGGCTACGCGGGAATGCACCTATGATATGCGGTGTGGCCTGGGGCGTCTGCTGGGCGGTGAGGGTGAGGAGGCAGCCTCGTCCCAGCCCCGGTGTTGTTGTGAGTGCTGGCTGCACAGCAGCTGGCTAGGCGGGGTCCATCTCCCTGCTTGACTGCCCTGGTTCTTCGGGGTGAGCTGTGAAACGGGTGGCATTTCCACCTGGGCTCTGATGGAGACGCGGTGCCAGCGCCTTTGGCTTCTGAGACTCTGGTGTCGGGCCTGGTGCAGACGCGGTTGCAGGGCCAAGGGCCAGGGGGCCCCCCCACTCTCTAGGCTGTTTGTCACCACTCCCTCCCCTGAGTGGGGGACCCAGGCTACCAGGCCCGGCCGCCAGGCCCACTCTGCCCAGGCTTCCTGGTTCTGGGCACGGGAAACCTTTGGAAGGGAGGAGATTAGGGGGAGAGAAGCCACCGGGCGGCTCCACCTGGCAGGGTGACACCTGGGGCTGTGGAGGGAGGGAGCACTGGTGACACAAGGACTTGGGGTTGCTGCCATCAGCACGTGGCGGGTAACTGGAGCTAAAGACAGCAGCGAGGCATCCAGGGCCCATTTGCTGGCCGACAGGTGTGGGAGCAGCCACCTTGTGGAGGCAGTCACTGCGCCTCGCCCAGCTCGTGGGTCCCTGAGCCGCAGCCAGCACCCCTGTCCCCCCCAGCAGTGGGGACAAGAATGGAGAGGCGCCTCTCGGGGTGTGAGAACACGAGCGAAATACCGCTGTGCGCTGCCCGGCACCACGGCCCTCCGACTAGAAACGTGGGATGTGGGATGGGGACATCCGAGTCCTCAGGGCCAGCTCTGGCTGACGGCTGGTGTAACCGTGCTGTGAACGGGGCAGGGCATACACCGTCTCCGACTCTGCCTCTGCGTTCCGGCCCCCCTCCACGCCTCCGCGCTCTGCCGCTGGTGACCTGGTGACCGTGCGGGAGGGGCTTGTTCCTGGGTCGTGAGAAAATGACATCCAATGCCGTGGGGGGACAGGGGGGCGGGTGTCTGTGAGTGTGTCTGTGTGCGTGTCTGAGTGTGGAGGCAGGAGGACCCGTCGGGCCTGGTTCACAGGATGAGCGGGCTCAGCTGTGGCCTTGGGTGGGCGCGCAGGTGGCTCAGGCTGGGCCCTGCAGCGCAGGCCACGCCCACAGGCCGTCCTCCGTGTCTCTCCCCCAAAGTGAGGGAGGTCGCTGAGGCTCCCGCTGGGCTGTGAGAGAGCTGGGTGCTCTTCAGCGTCAGCCAGGCAGCTGCACAGTGCTCGTCATCCCAGCCGTCCTAGTGCTCCGGGCCCTCGGGCTGCTCACCACCACTGTCTTTATACCTTTACACACCTGCCTGCCTCTTTGGTCTGCGGGAGTTCTCCTCTAAAAACTCAGGGCTAGAGGGGTCCCTGGGTGGCTCAGTTGGTTAAGCGTCTGACTTCAGCCCAGGTCGCGATCTGAAGGTTTGTAGGTTTGAGCCCCATGCTGGGCTCTGTGCTGACAGCTCAGAGCCTGGAGCCTGCTTTGGATTCTGTGTCTCCTCTCTGCTCCTCCCCTGGTCACTTGCTCATGCTCACTTGCTCATGCTCACTTGCTCATGCGCGCGTGTGTGTGCGCGCGCGCGCTCTCTCTCAAAAATAAATACTAAAATAAAAAAAAAATTAAGGCTGAAATCCCTAGCAGCCTGAATGCATCAATGTCCCATCAGGCCTGAGGGGTACCTTTTGGGAGGACTGACACAGTGACCCCCACCTCACCTACTGCACCCCAGTAGGACTAGGACTGAGCTGGTAGGTGGGGTCTGGAACTTAAGAGTTTTTTTTTTTTTTTTTTTTAATTTTTTTTTTAACGTTTATTTATTTTTGAGAGAGAGGCAGAGCATGAACGGGGGAAGGTCAGAGAGAGGGAGACACAGAATCTGAAACAGGCTCCAGGCTCTGAGCTGTCGAACTCACAGACCGCGAGATCATGACCTGAGCCGAAGTCGGCCGCTTAACCGACTGAGCCACCCAGGCGCCCCTCAAGAGTTTTTAAAAAATAATTGATAGTAGTTCTGCCAGAAGATGCCATCAGCCTCCCTCCTATGGACCCACTGATTTTTTTTTTTTGGTTTGGTTTTGTTTTGTCAT